GACCCCCCCCCCCCCCCCCCCCCCCCCCGGTAAGATCGTTCTTCTTTAATTGGAGGGGAAAGTGGAGTAGGCGTACTGAGGCCATCTATGGCGTCCTAATCGGGAGCATTAGCACCGGGCCGCTTAGCCTCGTTGTTAGGGACAGAGGCCTCGCGGTGGATGGGGTTCGCTTCGGCCCTATTGGGAGTAGTTGACTATCCGTACCCCGTTGACCTGGACTCGTAAGAAAATACTCTCTTTAAAAGTAGAGTGGAACCTATAGAGTACTCTATAGTCGACCACATATTCGACCACGGCTCTTAGGGCAACCGGAACACTACGTAGCCTTATAGTAGCGTCCGTCTTTTAATAGCTAGTGCCAGCCGAGCTAGTACCACGGGCATGGGCTCCCCCCAACACCGAACTCCATCATCTATATGTTAACTAGAGTTCTAAGACACTATCACTCTAATAGAGAGATCGAGATAATAATATAAGCAAGGTATAGTAGGGGATAGTATCTTACGGTAAGTCTTGCCTCCACTTGGAGGCGCACGTGGTTATGGATACGCTAGGTCTCTAGCTCACGACGAGCAGCCTCTATAGCAGCCTTCTTTTTTAAATCAGTATCAGATTCAATCTTAGTATATGATAGAGCTTACAGCCTCTTCGCGTTAGGTTTGCGCCTCCCGGCGCTTACGCATGAGTGAGTGCCCTATTTCGGGCGTTGTTGGGCCCAATTTGACCTGGTTCCAACATCGAATCCGAGGAAAAAAGAGCCATCGGAGGACAGAGAAATCTGACATCCACACAGACCTTTACCTGGGAGCGAATGGTATTGCTCAGCAACTTGCAAATTGGTTGGCCTTCGATTTGACCAGTAATATCCCACAGTGCAATATCAACCGCGCTGATTGCACCGGTAAATATTTGTTGGATCGGGCATACCTGTGTGCGACGAACAGAGGAGAAACAGATGGTTGGATTCCACTCGGATCCTCAAGTTATTTGGGACTCCTCATGGCTCTTGGTTGGTAAAATCCTTCCGGTAAAACCAGGAGTCTATGGGAGAGAGGACGACACGGATAATGGCCATAATCGACGGCTTCAAAAGTGTCCTGGAGTTTGCGAGGATCTGTAGCTGATTCCAGCTGGGCAGATAAAGATGGGCTTGGTGGGGACACGTCCAATCAGGATAGGAGCAATAATTGTGTTCACCACATCAAGAACTTTTGCCGGACCCCGGCGTACGAAGCTGTATAGACGCCATGGGTCAAAAACCCATTTTCGGTAAGTATTGATGTCTGAATGCCTGATTTTGGCCTGGATGAGCTAGGTCTCTAACTAGCTCACGGCGACGAGCCTTGACCGCTTCTTACGCCGCTCCATACCATGTAATGTAAATTATGAAGCGTGCACCTACACCTGGCGAGGCCCTGGGGCCGCCTAGGCCTGGCCTAGTCGTAGGTAGGGCCGGCGCCCGCCCTGTGGGTCGCTTAGTCAGACTTGATGACGTCCACCCGTGCACGCGTGGACAGGTTCATGGGCCAAGGGGTCTCGAATTTGGAAGGTTACACCTTTCACTCTTAACGATCATGGCTTTTAGAATTGGCCCTCAGATGTTCCGTGCATTCCGAGCTGCTCCACGGGCCCCGTGGTCTGCACATGTGCCTCGTGCACCCGCTTTCCGCCGCACCTTCTCGGCCAACGTGGAACAGCCGCATCTGCGCCTGGGCTCAACTGGTACAGTCTCAATAGAAGTACAGTTACCAAGATACCATGCTAACATAAGATAGCCCCAAATTTCAAGGCGCTGACCACCCAGGGCGAGATTGACTTCCACGAGTTCATCGGTGATAAGTGGACCATCCTCTTTTCACACCCTGCAGACTTCACGCCCGTACCTCTCACCAATATACTCGATGAAGACACTGAGCTGACAAATAATTAGGTGTGTACAACCGAATTAGGCGCCTTTGCCCGACTTAAGAATGAGTTCGATAAACGCGGGGTCAAGATGATCGGACTGGTGAGCACCCGCCATTTACAACTTTCACAGGGCCTTAGCTGATGCGATTCTCTCCAGAGTGCCGACGAGCTCGGTTCCCATGGCCAGTGGGTCAAGGACATTAACGAAGTCGGTTCGACAGAAGTCCAATTCCCAATCATCGCCGATGCCGACCGCAGAGTTGCCTTCCTCTACGACATGATCGACCAGGATAGCATCGGGAAGAAGGAAATCGCGTTTACTATTCGCTCCGTGTTTATTATCGACCCGAGCAAGAAGATCCGTCTGACCATGATGTACCCCGCCTCCACGGGCCGAAACTCCGCGGAGGTTTTGCGGGTCATCGACTCCTTGCAGACCGCTGATAAGAAAGGTGTAGCTACCCCGATCGACTGGACCGTTGGTGATGATGTCATCGTGCCTCCCTCTGTCAGTACCCCGGATGCACAGAAGAAGTTTGGTGAAGTTCGCGAGGTCAAGCCTTACCTGCGCTATACCAAGGTCTAAGCACGTGGACGTACGTGTACAACAACAGATGAAAATGAGCAAACACCATTTCAATGTCGATCAAACGGGGCCGGTGTCGCGTGTTCTATTTGCAGTAATAACCTAATAACCTAGATGCACTATTAACGGAATTAACTTGATCCGTTGCTCCAGAAAAGGGGGCCTGCAACCCTGGGTTGCATATTTAACTATTGGAACCCCTGACACTTGTCTCTTTTAGGGCAAGGATAGTCCGGGGACTAATCAGGAAACGGAGTAGTACTTGGTACCTAGTAGTATCTATGTTATGCCCCGAACCCGCATATGGTTTCTTGTCCGGGGACCCTCGGCTATGCTACGGAGGTAGTCACGAGTCGATCCTTGATTGCGACAAATCCTCAGTGTTCACTCCACTGCCAAGTGCAATATCGACGTCCCATGACGATCCTCATCGAATCCAGCAAAGATCATCCAAGCGTGAATATACATTTCCCCGAGACGGGCACGCGGGCGTTACTCCTTCCCCGATTCTACAAGTAGTCCCCCGTCTGTAGTTTTCTTATGGCCCCGGGGATCCTATTAGTTGGAATCCTGCGGATTCGAATCTGGGGGAAATAATGCACCCATTCTCTTGACTGGCCAAAATCCGATCTTTTTTCCATATACTTTCCGTTTTGCTTGCAAATCCATCGCCATGGCTCCTTGGGCACGTCTAGCTCTAGTCTCTCTTTTAATCCCGCTTCTCCTGGCTTCCCAAGTACCAGACGAATCTGAATCTACTACACACCTGCACGAGAGAGCAACAGAAGGCTATGAGTCTCCTCCATACTATCCTACCCCTCCGGGGGGCTGGGTTCCCGACTGGAGTGAAGCTTACTCCAAGGCGTATCGTCTCGTCAGCAATATGACGCTGGCTGAGAAAGTCAATCTGACGACAGGCACTGGCTTCTTTATGGGACCCTGCGTAGGGCAGACAGGGAGCGTGCCTCGCCTAGGTATTCCCAACCTGTGCCTCCAAGACAGTCCTCTGGGAATCCGCAACTCAGACCACAACACTGCCTTCCCACCTGGTATTACAGTTGGCGCAACCTTTAACAAAGACCTCATGTACGAGCGAGGTGTTGGGCTCGGTGAAGAGGCTCGCGGCAAGGGAGTCAACGTGCTCCTGGGACCGTCCGTGGGAGCACTTGGACGCAAGCCGCGCGGTGGAAGGAACTGGGAAGGCTTCGGTGCCGATCCCACTCTGCAGGGCATTGGAGGTGCCCAGACTGTGAAGGGCATGCAGAGCACTGGCGCCATCGCGGCCATCAAGCATTACATTGGCAATGAGCAGGAAATGCACCGCATGAGCAGTGTTGTTACCAAGGGCTATTCGTCTAATATTGATGACCGCACATTGCATGAGCTGTACCTCTGGCCTTTTGCTGAGGGTGTTCGTGCGGGTGTAGGGTCCTTGATGACAGCTTATTCCGATGTGAGTCTCCTCAATTCTATTTTTCAGTGAATGTTGCTGACCCCTGTTAGGTCAATAGCTCTTCGTGCTCTCAGAACAGCAAGTTGCTCAATGGGATTCTCAAGGATGAGCTTGGCTTCCAAGGATTCGTGATGACGGATTGGCTGGGTCATTACTCTGGCGTCGCGTCCGCCATAGCTGGTTTGGATATGTCTATGCCTGGCGATGGAGCAGTTCCCTTGTTCGGAGATTCTTACTGGGGCTCTGAGCTGTCGCGTTCGGTCCTGAATGGCAGTGTTCCCATGGACCGTCTCAACGATATGGTATGTGGTCCTCTGTGCGTGGATTTCCCTCACGTCTATAATATGGGTCTAGGTTCAACGAATCGTTGCCACTTGGTATAAATACGGACAGGATAAGGACTATCCCTTACCAAACTTCTCAACCAACACCCAGGACGAGGAGGGCCCGCTTTACCCTGGTGCGCTATTTTCTCCATCTGGTGTCGTTAACCAGTTCGTCGATGTGAAGGGCAACCACAACATCACCGCGAGAGCCGTCGCACGGGAAGCAATCACATTGCTAAAGAACGACATGGGCATTCTT